AGGAGATGGTGAGTTCTAGTCCCGCCTTAGGCATGGAAACCACCTAGATGACTTGGGCCAATCACCAGGAGATGGTGAGTTCTAGTCCCGCCTTAGGCATGGAAACCACCTAGATGACTTGGGCCAATCACCAGGAGATGGTGAGTTCTAGTCCCGCCTTAGGCATGAAAGCCAGTCACCAATCACCAGGAGACAATAAGTTCTAGACCCGCCTTACACATAGAAACCTGCTGGATGACTTGGGCCAATCATCAGGATTCAGTGAGTTCTAGTCCCGCCTTACGTTTGGTTTGGTGACTTTGGCCCAATCACCAGGAGATGGTGAGTTCTAGTCCCGCCTTAGGCATGAAAGAAAGCTTGAGGGGCTGCCCCAAAGAAGAGGGGGTCAATCCATTCTCCAAAGCACCTGAAGGCAGGACAAGAAGCAACAGATAGAAACAAATCAAGGAGAGGAGCAACCTGAAATTTCCTGACAGCGAGGAGAATTAACCAGCGGAACAACTTGCCACCAGAAGTTGTGGGTGCTCCATCCCTGGAGGTTTTCAAGAAGAGACTGGAGACACCTTTGTCTGAAATGTGGTTTAAGAGGGTTAACCACAGTAGAGAGTTTCCTGCCTGAGCAGGGGGTCGGACTAGAAGACCTCCAAGGTCCCTTCCACCTCTGCTATTCTGCTAATCCGTGTCAACAGGTTCCCAAGACGTTTTTTTTTCTTCTCTTTTGACTTCCAGGGAATATATACTCAGAAAAGGATGGACCCTAAAAGAGTTAAGGAAGAAGTGGTGGACTTCGCCCGTTTTAAATGGCCGTTGCTGTTCTCCAGGTTCTACGAAGCGTTTAAGTTTTCAGGTAAGCCCAAATGTTTCCCGTCGCTCGGGGACGGCAGGTTCACAAAACACTGTTGCACAACACGTGTGTGTGTGTGTGGTGGGGTGTCACCCACGCAATTCAGTTGCCAACTTTTCCTGACCACGAGGGCTCTTCTGCAAGCTTCTGGAAAGCTTTCTAAATCACAAAATGCTGCAAGGTTGCAGACAGCTTCCAAATGTGTTTCGATGGAGTTTTTAAAAAAGAGTGCTTCGTTTCCTGGATATTTGTCCTGTACGCCTCAAATATTTCCTGTGTGTTCATCATTAAAATATCCCACCTGAATGAGAGCCGAAAAGAGATAACCACCCACAACAGAAAAGGAAAGGAAAGGAGGAGAGGAGAAGAGAGGAAAGAGGAGAGAAGGAAGAAAGAGGACTGGGGAGGAAGGAGGGAAGGGATAGAAAGAGAAGGAGAGAGGGTAGGAGGGGGGAGAGGAAGAGAGGAGCAGGGGAGAGGTAAGGGAAGTAGGAAAAGGAAAGGAAAGGAGGAGAGGAGAAGAGAGGAAAGAGGAGAGAAGGAAGAAAGAGGACTGGGGAGGAAGGAGGGAAGGGATAGAAAGAGAAGGAGAGAGGGTAGGAGGGGGGAGAGGAAGAGAGGAGCAGGGGAGAGGTAAGGGAAGTAGGAAAAGGAAAGGAAAGGAGGAGAGGAGAAGAGAGGAAAGAGGAGAGAAGGAAGAAAGAGGACTGGGGAGGAAGGAGGGAAGGGATAGAAAGAGAAGGAGAGAGGGTAGGAGGGGGGAGAGGAAGAGAGGAGCAGGGGAGAGGTAAGGGAAGTAGGAAAAAGAAAGAGGAGGAAGGGAGAAAGAGAAGGGAGGGAGGGAGGAAGGAATAGCAATAGCAGTAATAGCAGTTAGACTTATATACCGCTTCATAGGCCTTTCAGCCCTCTCTAAGCAGT